TCAATTGCTGGTGAGACTATCCATTCCGTGCAAAAGGCGAGGAATATCGGCACTATGTTCGACAGCCATTTTTGCTTTAAGGATCATATTACTGACATTTGCAAATCTTCATTTTATCATTTGCGAAATATTAGCTATATCAGGAAATATCTTTCAGCGACCACTACTGAATTGGTGGTTCATATGTTTGTATCTTCGAAGCTGGATTACTGTAATTCCCTTTTGTATGGCCTACCAGCCTACACTATAAAAAAGCTACAACACGTCCAGAATGCCGCGGCGCGCCTCGTCACACTTACAAAAAAGCATGATCACATTACGCCTGTTCTTTTTAATCTTCATTGGCTTCCCGTTAATCAACGTATTATTTTTAAGATTTTACTTATAACCTACAAGGCACTAGTGGTAATAGAGAAAGTTTAAGCAGCCGATTCCTATAGGAATACATCCCTTAGATAATTCAAGATAAACTTTGTGGCCCTCCGCTGAACGTTTTCTAGCAATAGTTTGTCCTTTGACGTGTAGGGTGACCATAGTTCACAAGCGTACTCTAGTTGTGATTGAACAATTGAACAGTATAAAAGTTTCTTCATGTCAAGATCATTGATATCTCTACAGACCCTACGAATAAGGCCAAGCGTTCTATTTGCTTTAGAGGAGATCAGCTTTCTATGTTGAGACCAGTAGAGAGTATTGGTGACGGTTATTCGCAAGTCTTTAATTTCGCTAACTGTTGCCAATGGGGACCCGTTAGGTGGTGAGAATTTTCTTCCTAGAGATATTCAAGGCCTCACATTTGGGTATGCTGAGAGACATTTTCCAGGCAGGCGGTGTGCATCACAGGTGGGCAGGATCATTGGTAAAAATGTGAAACGGCTCATTACATCCTCGATACGGTCGCGTGAACATAAGAGTTAGTATATTTCAGTAGTTTTGGAATGGGAATTGAAACCCTTCTTCCATTATTGAAAGCGGTAACAGAAAAAACGAATTTGCAGTCTTTAGAAGGCCTCGTAGCCGCAGTCGATGCCTCTTGTTGGCTTAACAAGACAATTTCTTTGAGTTATCAGCAACATGGCGACGATCGACGGTGAGGACATGGCTTACGTGAGGTTGTGTTTGACACTTTCGGATTTCCCTATAGCATTGATTATTTTTAATTTTCTATAGAGTTCAGGGTATTTTCTCATCATATCTGGGGTTACTGTACCGAAATGATATTACTCCGTTGATAGTTTTCGACGGCAAAGGAAAGAAACAAGAGCAGAGAAAAGAGCAAGGTACAAACTATTTTAACCATAAGCACATCACCTAAACTATGTATATGCTTCTGTCTAAACCGATTATTATAAGTATTGCACAGCTTTATGCCTATGAGAAGCAGTGCTATAACTATAACCCCTTACTACTTTTGTTGTAATGATTGTCTTGCATCAGTGTTTTGAATTCATGCTTAGGGCAGAAATTAAAGAGGATTCAGACCTTCTTGCCTATGGACGTAAAAAGGTGAGCTTACAAGTAGTGTCTGTTGAACTTCATAGATCTCCCTCACTTCCTTTCTTTTTATTCCATATTTTGATCTTCGCATTTATTATTTACCTTCTTCATTTCTTCTATAATCTCTAAATAAACCAATCCAAGCATGCATTCTTGCACATCCATGCAAATAAGCATACACGATAGGTTACGGGTACAAATTAACCTTGACATGTTCCGTTCATTAATACATAATAGTTGATTTTAACTATCTTCATATCTTTGTGTCAGTGACAGCTAAATGACTCCCCTCCCTCCCCTATTTGTATTGAAATCACTTTAATTGTTCTTCTGCCTCGCGATGGCACATTGTAATATAAGTTAGTGATTTATCATGAGATATTTTAATATTTTATTACCATGTTCCAATAGGTGTTGTTCAAGTTAAAACTTGGTGGTCATCGTCAACTGATAGGGTTGGATAAGGCTTTGCAACACCTACAACTCAGCCAGGAAAATTTCCTCGAGATGTGCATTGTGGCTGGATATGACTACCTGGACAGTATTAGGGGAATGGAATAAAAAAAAGGCAGAAAGTTAAATGAAAAGCAACTTCCTCTCAGTTTTACCATGATCCCAAGGGCTTGGTTCATAATTAGAAGGAAAAGCTTTCTTTTCAGAATGTGGATGGCAGAGTCAAATGGAACATCATTCCCTTCAGTATTCATGTAGTAATACAGAATGTCCTCCTGTGGAATTGCTGCATATGGTAGCCTTGCTTGAAAAGTTACCGGGTTGCTCTCGTTGCCCCATGAACATACCGCACGTATGCCTACAACTAAAATGGTAGCAACAGATTTTGCATATTTATCTGTTAATCATATTAACACGTCTAAGTTTTGAATTAATGCGCCCTTTTGCTGTTGTAAATTTTGTTAAAATACCTTGGAACTTAAACTGGTGTGAAATACTGTCTTATGGTGTTCACAATGATGTGTCATGCCTCTGCTTTTGAATCCATAATCAAATGAATAATGGAAATTGCCCTACTGGAGCCCATGGTGTGGATAGAATTGAATTCCATCTGTAACAATTCAAAAGTACAAGCTTCAGACACAACAAACTAAATCCAAGTCCTTCCGCAAAGAAATGTACAGGAGCCAAGAAGAACCAAGGCAAGATTAATAAAAGCAATTAAATGTCAAACCATTACATAGACTTCATGCAAAATAGTATTTTTTTAAGTTCCTGTTCATGAAATTGTTACCGAATTTTCTATCTAAAACCATAAAATAACCAGATCATCCCACAACTATTATATATCCAGGGAATTTAAAGTCAAATCATGGAATACGGCGATGTATTTAATATGATAGGCTAAACAGTTCTTTGCTTTTTTCTACATGGTAGCTTTTCATTGGTCACATTAACCCAGGCTTTTTTTGTGTCCTTTCTGCCTCTTGTGTTCCCACTCTGGCAGGAGACTGACCTTTCAATTCTAATAGTGTTGCTGTTGTAGCCAAAGGTCCTGATATCTGGATTGTCACACCTGCGGCCAAGCTGCCTCTGCTTTCCAAAATATTCTTCTACAGGATCTTGACAGAACTCTTTACTCAGTTTATTGTCTATCTCAATGCTTGACTTTTGTAATTCAGCACGCATTTCATGCAATTCCTTTTCAAGCTGTGCACACTTCAGTCTGTGTTGTTGTAAAGTTAGTTTTATTCTCTCAGGGTCTCTCTTAGACACTGGAGCATTGAGCTTGCAGGCTTTAGGCACTTTGAACTATGGGCTTGGTAAATACTTCTTGTTGATTCATTTCACAGCACATAGATCTCTTCTTCCTGGAGATGAAGGCAACCCTTGCTTCTCCAAANGCTACAGATGCGCTGAGTACTTGAGCTGCCAGGTTGACACGCATCGTTGAGTAGGATGTGAGTTTGATGTGGTCAAAAGTGAGTCTTGGGAGCAGTTTCAAACCATTTTCCACATCTTGGTAAAAGAGTTGGACAATATGTCGCCACAACAAGTAGTGCCCATCATTCCACATGTACCTGAAATATATATGGTACCGGTAATGAAAATAGTGTTTTTGCGATAAATGCAGAAATTTTTGCGCACTCATTGGCTAATTTTTATTATCAATAAGTGGAAAGAGATATGAATTTATAGTTTATGTGATGCGTCAACGAGCGAGAGCGGACAATATGCCAACTTGTCATCATAAAAAAACAATAAGAGCACAGAGGTATGAAAACCTGGCGTCAGTTTGTTAAATTTAATATAACTTTATTATTTTATTATTCCAATATCCCAGCAAAAATATTGGATCTTTTTGTTGTTACTGAGTCATGAAGTCATTTCAGTGTAGGGAGCTGTCATTATTTATAAAAGGTGGCGGGGAAGAAGAATTTTTGTCATCATCAATCTTTATCTTTGGTTTAGTGTAATAATAAAAATATAAATAATACCTGAACATGAAACATACCCAGTACATGTACCAGATCCAGAATGATAGAGGCATTAACTGGACAGCTGTGATTCCATTAGTTGCGAAGTAAGCGAGACTGAATTTCAACTCGGTGCAAACACCCCTGACAAGGAATACAAGTGCATGTGTTGCAACTGTATCTGCCATATCAAGTGTTGCAAAATTAATGTCTGGATCCCCTTAGTCCACGTAACCAATAAGTTCACCAGTAACCTTGTCAAAGACAAGATTTGACATTATCTTCATCTCATCAAAGAGTAACACAATGTACCTCTGTACATCAAAGTATGTGTCTGTCATTTCTTTAAGTTCTTGCAGGAAACTTTCATGAAAACCTCTCTTTGGCCGTATAAAGTTCCTGTAATCCCGCAGAGTCCGTTGACTGGGTAACACAAGAATTCCACTGTTTCTCAATTCCTCATAACAAGATGGAGACTTCGCTGCCAAGGACAAACAGTACCTTACTATCATAGGGTGAAACCTCACTCCAGTTGCACTGCTTGAAAACATTTTTTTCTGTTGCTGCCAAAATAACTCCATAAATGGAGATATTCTAGCATTGGTTTTCCCTAGAATTGATGTCAGATCCTTGCTGAGCTCATGGGCAGCCTCGATGCTGGAATTCTTTATTTCAGCCATCATCTCATTCAACTGTTGGTCAAGTTCTGCACACTTTAATCTCTGCATCTGGAGTGCGAGTTTAATTCTCTCAGGTGGTGTTTGGGATACTGGAGAGTTGATGTGAGCAGGCTCTGATAATTTTTTCAGCTTTGATCTATTTGTTTTACCCACTGCATGAGAAAATTTGGAGCAAGGCATGCACTGCTGGTTACTGTCTTCACACAGAAGTTCACATCCCTTAGCACGCCAGTACTGTTTACTTGGGAATGGTTCTTCTTCCTTCAAGTGATCCACAAACTTTGGAATGACATGCTGTAACACATCACTACATGTTAAAGGTTCAACACCAGGGCAAATAAAATACCTCTCCATATCCTTGACAAGGTTAGAAACAGACACATTCATCACAGACGTAAAGCAGTTTAAATAAAGTTCGTGGTCTTCAGGTAATAAGCATCCATACACCTTGATAGTGAACCCCAGACTGTCGTCGATTATTAGTTTGAGTTCAGGTAATAAAAACGAATCACGTACCCTTTTAATAAGAATTCTGTCGTTTAGTTGTTCTAATTTCCAGGTGGAAAGAGTTTTCAGAGATTTTACTCTGACACAAAGTCCTTCGAAGTTCTTGTAGATTCGTTTGTTGATCTTGCTGTCTTCATGATCTCTGACAATGGACCTCGACGGTCTCATCACAGGCCTCCTTGAATCGCGGCTTTTCTTGGGTATATTAACCGTTGGGAGAGCTCCAAACTTTGGCTTTTTCTTCGTCATCTTTTCCGAATGAACTAGGAGAGAGAGAGAAAAGGAGAATTTGCTCTAAAAGTTCACCAAGAATGTTGAGACTATATTAAAGTTTCGCGAGCAGTATGTTCTCATCTGTCAACAACGATAGATTAAAGCATAAACCTGCACTACTTACAGATTTCTATGTCATCAGGTGCGAAATGCTTTTCGCATGTATACACTCTATCATTGTCGATTAGCCTTTGGAGGTCTTTATCCACTACTCGTGATTTTGTCAGCCCATTCAGCCACTGTTCTCGCCACTGTTTATAATCGTCGTTTCTCGGAGCTGGGAGCTTCCATATCCCGATTCCTTTGGAATTCCTGCATGATCCGCATCCAAATACGGCACAATTGTCGCCTGGCATTTCGTATACATAAGTAACTAGTTTGATAACGATTTTAACTATTTTACAGAAAGATAACTGCGATGTTTTCGTGACTCGACAACAACCTCATACTATCTCCGACGCCATTTTGAAAAAACGTATTGCACGGTCATTATCACGTGATCTCTCTAAAATCGAACAATAATCTCTTCCTCTGATGTTCGCCGGTTTTCCTAACCACGTGATCTCTCTAAAATCGAACAATAATCTCTTCCTCTGATGTTCGCCGGTTTTCCTAACCAGTCCCCTCTACTAACTATGGTTCTTGGTGCGGACCAAAAGAAAAGCGGCCTCTGGGCACGAGATTGGTAGGAGTATTTTTTTTAAACATAAGTCAATTTCAACTAAGAGTAGAGTGTAGGTTCCCTTCAAGTACAAATGATAATTATATTACGACACATGAAATTTACATCGCTCTCTTCCAAGTTTCTTGCATGATTAATCATCTATACTCAATAGTATGCGTTAAATGGTGGCCATAAGAGCATTGTTAGAAGCTATCGTATTGATAAAAACTTATTCCCACCATTGCATATTTAAATTTAAAATGAATTAATAATTGACTTAGTAGACAGTAAAATCTATAAAGTAACTCTTGGGAGTGAAAGGCTTAAAGGACGCTTGGCACTATTCTGTGTGTATGGTGATTTGATTTCCACCGTCCACACCAAAATTACTTTCTTTGATAAAAACGCTTTTCCATCTATTTTGCAAGAATTGTAAAAGTGATGATAATTATTGCAATGAAGGACTCTTTGAAATGTGATTTCAAATGTAGATAAAAAAGACTCCAGATAAAAGCCAAAATAAAAGGAACATTAATAAAGGCCACCGTTGGTTCATGGTAGTGTGCAGTGTTGATTTCAATTTTCCAAAAACTAAAAAAAAAAAATTGGTGTCAATCAAGGCTGCACATGGGTGCATTATCATGACACAGTACTTCAATAACCACAGTTAAGTAATTTATTGATTTATATATATTTATCATGACAGTATTGTAGTAAAAATGAACATTATCAGTGCTAATAATCCATCAAATATTTTCGCTTGCATGCGATTGTTATAAATGTGATATCCTACTGGATATTTCCTAATTTGCGTGTTTTGAAAACTATTTGAAGGATAATGAACAAAATAGCCTCCTTTTGGCTTAAAAAAATAAGCTCGGCTATTTGTCCTTGGTCATCTCTGTTCCTCGAAGATCACAGTTTTTCTCGAGCTGCGTTCTTGGAAAAACTGTTCGCTTCTCGCAACAGAGAATATTCACGGACAAATATCCGGGCATATTTTCGAGCCAAATGGAGGCTATTGTTTGTATAACAATCAACTTAAAACTCGATCCATTTTTCCAAATTTTACATTGTACAAATACCAACTGTTCTAATTTTGAATTTTAACATTATTCTGGTTAAAATTCAAATTAATTTCAAGTTCCAATTCTATACTTCACTGATGTTTTTTTTTTTTGCATATTAATCACTCTGACTCAAACATTAACTGGGGAACACTTATGATTATATCCACTACTGCAAGAGTACTATGTTGACTGTAACTTCCATGTACTTAATATATTAATGCTAACATACTCAATTCAAGCAAGTTTTAATTACTTTCAAAGTAAACCATTTGTTTCATTCAGATGCAGGTACTCTTTGCACACAAAAACCTTCAAACTTTTCTTAGTAAAGAAGTAGCATCTGTATCAAAATTATTTATGCTTTTGTCTCCGGTTTCTTTTTCCACTGGGTTGAAATTGACCGACAAATTGTCTACCAAATTGTCCCTGGTTCTTTTCACTTTTTTGCTCTTTAAGATTAGCTTAACTGCAAAGGAAAAATGCCAATGAGTGTATTTATTTATTCATTTAGTTATTTATAACAATAAGAATAAGCTTTATATAAATTACGTTAGATTAAGGTTGAGATTTACGAGTGCTATGAAAGTTGTACCGGGTTGTTTGTCGTAATTTTAAGAATAAATATTTTACAGGGTGAATGCATACAATTGAAACATCAATTAAGAAAGACTTGAATGGCCGATGTATAAGAAGATTGTGCGTACTGTTTTTCTGCTGTGGTAAGGGATCTGGAAGCATAGGCGACGGGCTGCCCCTTTTGGAGCAGGCATGCCCCAAGTCCCCTTCCGACGCATCGCACTGCAGCTCAACTTCTTCTTTAGGGTTGAAGAATTTCAGCAAAGGTGCAGTCGTTAGTAGTTGCTTTACTCTCTCGCCTTGGTCGTGTGGGTCCCAGTGGAACAGTACGTCTTCCTGGAGGAGGTTCCTTAGATCAGAAGTGGCATCGGAGAGATTCGGCGAGAACTTTTGTAGGTAGTTGACCATGCCGAGTAGACGGCGAACATCTTGCTTATTCTGTGGAGTTGGCATGTTTATTTGAGCAACAATCTTTGCTGTGTCCGGTCTTAGACCGTCAGCAGAGATTACATGGCCCATAAAGGTCACCTCTGTTTGTCGATACTTGGGCTTCTCTTTGTTGAGTTTGATCCCCTTATCTCTGCAGCGCTGAAGAAGAGAGTTCAGCTTGCGGTCGTGATCGGCTGTAGCCTCCTCTTTAGTGTTTACACAGCCGAAGACTAGAATATCGTCGTATATGGGTTATACCCCATCTAGGGCTTCCATAGTGTTGTCTAAGCGACGCTGAAACTCTTCGGGAGCTAGTGATATCCCGAATGGCATCCTGGTCCAGCGATATCGACCCCAGGGTGTGGCGAAGGTTGTAAGTAGGCTACTTTCACGGTCGAGAGGCACGTGCCAGAATCCATTCTTAGCATAAACGACAGTAAAGATCTTAGCATCCGTCAGACGAGGTAGAAGGTCTTCGATGACTGGGAGAGGGTAATGGTTCCTCTTTAGTGCTTGATTCAGCGGTTTCGGGTCTATACACAGGCGGATATTTCCATTTCGCTTGCGCGCTACGACCATGGCCGATATCCAGTATCCAGTCTGTTAGTTGGCCGTTTTTAAGATTTTTAGTGAGAAGAGTTGTCGTGCCGAGAGCGGGGAGTTCGGTCTGATTAAACATAAAGAGTTTCCTTGTGCTTGTTTTCAGATCTTTTAATTGATTGTCATTCGTTGCTTTGGCATATAGTCCGGAAGCCAGGACCCTAAAATAAGGGTTTCGTACAATGATCGGGTCAGAAAAGGTTTGATAGTGGATTTTGATAGAACAAGACCTGCTTATCAATGTCAGCTAGTTAGTAGAGTTGAATTGTGGTATAGGTTACG